TTAAGAAAAACCCGAACCAAAAAATTGGGGAACCCGGCCTTGGAAGGCCTTGGAGGGGAACAGGGCCCTTTTTTAGTTGGGGCGCCGGGGGACCTTTCCCCGGGGCCTTTCGTTGGTCCGGGATTCCCCGGGCCCCAGGGGGTTGGAGGTTTTGGGTTTCCCCTTAATTCCCCCCCGGGGGGGCCTTCCACGGGGGTTCGGTTTGTGCCCTTTTTGACCTTCGTTTCCCCCCGTGGCGGTTCCTTGTTTAAGTTTTTGGGGGGCCCTTCCATTTGGTTTGGGGGGGGGGGGGGGGGTTTTTTTGGTTTTTTCAAATGGGGGTGGTGGTTTCGTGGGGTTTTCCCGTTTGGGTTCGGGTGGTGGGTTGGGGTTTCACCAATAATATTAAAAGGGGCACCTTTTTTTTTTTCTTACTTTTTTATTTGGATTGGGGGTTGGGGGGGGGGGGGGCGCTTGTCACGGGCCGGTCAGCGTTTCGGAAGCAGCCAAGTTTCCGTTGGTGCGTACACCGCGGTGGAGTTGGATGAGACTGGAGGCCAGCTGGAAAAGGCAGTGCCGGTTGCGGGAACAATTGTCTTGGTACATTTTATTATTTCTGGCAGGAGGGGAGCCGACGTCGACATGTGTCTGATACATCCCCTACTCTAAAAGGGGGGGGGTTGGTAGCGGACGGGAGCGGGGGTGGTGGCGGTCATGATCGGCTTGCTGTACGAAGTTTTACCTCTGTCCCATTTTTTTGTTTTTGTATATATTGGATAGTGAAGGGAGGGAGGGTTGGTCGTTTCGCAACCAGAATCTACTTCGCTCTCTCTGCCCTGCAAATGCAAACATACCCACGGCGTCGATCTTTTCCGAAGCTGAGGATGACTGACAATGGTTCGACTTTCCTTCCTTGTGGTTTGCAAAACGAGCGGGAGCAAGTATCAGTTGACCACCGTCTTTTGCATCATATTGCAAGTCTTGCCGTGCCGGCCCGTGCGGACGGGATGGTGGTGCCATTGGTGGCGGTTGTCCAAGCTGTCACCCTTCTAATTATTTGCCTGCTTTTGGTCACATCTGAACATGAAGTGAGATGAAAGCCTGGACTATTGTTTGTTGTGACCTGTCCAGTTGAGAAAAGCACGGCAGACCCGAAGATAGAACATATTGGTGCCAAGCAAACCACCTCTTGGCTCGCGTCTGTGAGCGACTTGACGTAGAGACCGAAACGCCAGTAGAACAGGCAAAGTGTGGGGGAAGCCTCTCACGTCGAAGAATACTAGTCGCTTCATCAAGGGTTTTACGTGAACCTTACCTAGTTTAGCACATGTAACTGTATGTCCAGGGTTTTCGCTTTTTCTCAAGCTCTTCTGACAACAGCCCATCCTGAAAGGTGCTGCACTTGGTGTGTTTTGTATGCTCGAGTGCTCTCTCCGATTGCCCATCTTCTTAGACTAATCGATACAACTTGTTTTTCATGATGAAATGTTCTTGGACGGGGTTCATCAGGTTCCTCACGGTTATCTCCAGTGATTTTGTTGCGTTTCTCGCAATTATTGTTTCATAGAAAAAGCCTCAAACCCACTGCGACGCACGTGGCTGGGGCTAGCCAAGTCAGCAGGATGTGGATGGCGTGCAGCAGACCCAGCAGCGCGTGTTGCAAGATGCAAAGAAATTGTCCACTGTCCAGAGTTTCGCCGCAAAAAGCGACATGACACCCCCCCCCTTTATCTCCTCATTCGTTTCATGTAACCCCGCCCTCCACCTCCAGGTACGATCGCCACGGAGCCCCTCACTGAAAAATCAAAATTCAAATCCAACCCTCGGCGCGCGCGCTCTCCCTGTCTCTCCCTGCCACGCACCGGACAGCGTAGACGTACTCTTTCTCTCTGCCGTGTGTAGAAAAGCGCAATTCCTGCTTTACCACCGAGGCGCCTCTTCTTCCGACAGGCGCACTTATTAGTCTGGTTGTGCCAAAGCGAAAGGGTGTGCGAGATTAGACAGCAAGCAGCCAAAATGGCAGCGGTGACGGAGTCGGAGGTAGCGGGGTCGTTCTCTAAGATTGGGGAGGACCCTTCCGACAAGGACTTCATCGGGAAATGTGAGAGAGAGCGAGAGAGCGAGAGCTTGGTGCATGTGGTGAAGAAATAGAGAAGAGTTTGCGTGTGTGTTCAAAGTCGACAGGATACGGAGCACCGATCCCACTGCCCTCTGGGGCGACCCGGAATGGCTTGTCTCGATCTCGATCCGCAACGGCCGATCTGGCATGGCATGTATGCGTAGACTATGTACAGCGTTGTTCTGTGTGCGTCTGTCTCTCAGGAAGAGGGGGATGGATTCGGTGTTGTTCCCGACTAAGCCCCGCAAGGTCAGGCTAGGAGAGCTGCGCATCATCTTGCACGGTCGTAGCGCGTGATAGAAAAGGGCGACGTCGTTTCTGCTGTACAACCATGGTTCAAACACGCCGCATCTCTCGACTAATTTGGAAAGTTTGTGCACGCCAAAGACCAGGCCGATACAGCAACGATGATCACCGTCCGTGTTTCAGGACGGCCGTGTGTAGCAGCAAGGCCTGCACGCACCACAGAGCGGTACAGGCGGTAGAGCCGCACAGGCGGTGTCGCAACAGCAGCACTGCATTTTGCAAGCAAGCTATCGTCATCCCCTCCACGACACGTGCCGTGCTGTAGACACGGCATTTGCTGCTCCTTTTCTGCATGTTTCCGCCGTTTCTTTCTTTTATTACCCCCGCCCACCATTCCCTCGTCCCCTCCACGCACACCGGCGGTGCAGGCGTTTCTCTGTGCCAACGGTTCTCCCTGTCGGCCGGCGACCTTGCCGACCACTGGGAGTCCTTCGCCGTCAACCACGACGGCAGTAGGCTGGGGATGTCCTCCTGGGCAGGCTTCGAGACCGAGGTCGCAAAGAGCAAGGCGGCGGCGTCGACACCCCCCGCCGCCTCCACCGGTACCGCAAGCACTCCGTCTGCTGCTTCTCGGAGCAGCAGCAGGCCTTCTAGCGCGTCGATCGTGACGCCACGCCCGGCTGGCCGAAGGTATGGGTATGCGCGCATGCTGCTGTAGGGGGCGGGAGACGGGCTCCTATTAGCCCAATGTGTGTGAGTTTGCGCCAACTCTGTTCAAATTGTTGTACCGGTGTGTGACCTGGGGAGGTGGAAGCTGGAAGGGCGATCATGTGCTTCCATACAGCGGTACACAGCTTGTCTGTGTCGAGACGAAAGTGATGACAAAGCTGACTGGTGGAACTCTCGCCGCCAGCACCCCGGCGAAAGGCGCAGCTCAAATTTCGTCTGACCATCGCGCGTTGTGTGTTGGGTTGCCCAAATTGCAAATTGCCACCCACGGCATATGCACGAAGGCAACTGCCTTTGCCAACGACCGCAAGTCGTAGCTTAGAGAAAGTACGCCGACATGGCATCATTGTTGGGCCACAACACCAAGCACTCTCAACAGGCAGAACGTCCTGGCCGTGATTGCTGGCGCCGCCAGGGCAGTCGCAACATGCATATTCGCTTCGAAGGTTGAGCTATACCATCGGCGGTTTTGCCGTGGTGCCCGTACACGGGAAGTCGTGCAGGGCTGGCTCCCCAGGGAGTAACAGATGATTCGTATTCCAAAGAAACAGATGTTTCGCATGATACATAGCGTTTGCAGAAGCACGATCCTTTGGCGGGTAGCAGTCAAGGAAGAACATTTCTCGTGGCACGGCGGGAGCACCTGTGTGCCAAGGGTCGTGCACGTGTGTGCCAGGGGTCGTGTGGCCTCTCCTCACGCGCCACCGTTCCGTGCGGCACGCCCGCCTTCCTCCCCTTCGCCTCCGCTAAAAGCCAGTGCCTCGCCGCCGGTGCTCGCACCACCAAAACGACTGAAGGTGCTGCTGTACCCCGGTCCACCCTGTAGACGATGCTCCTTTCGCTGCTGTTAGCGCCTGTTTTCTTCCTTGAAGTGTGCGTTGGTATGGGAGTTGGGCGGGTGAAGGCACGGGTGTACCTGCTGCTACTGCTTCATCAGCTGCTGTCGCCGCAGGTCCTCCCGCCTTGCACCTGCCCGACTGCCGTGATAACGCACACTTCAAGGAAGACAACAGGCGCTCACAGCAGCGAGGAGTGTCGTCTACAGCGTGGTTGGGGGGTGCAGCAGTACCTTCAGGCCTTGGTAGTGCGAGCAACGGCGGCGAGGCACTGGCCCCAGCATGGGGGACCGGGGCTTGTTCTGGAGGCTTGGTGGATGTGTGTGGGAGAATCCTGTAGGTCGTGCTTCTGCACTTCGCGGTGTGTACCCCGTACGACTACCCTGCGGTATGTATGTACGCTTCTGCCGTTCCGCAATGCCGCGGCTGCAACGCTGCAGCAGCAGCAGCAGCAGCAGCAGCATGTCCCAAGTCTACCACATGGCGATCAAACACTCGCCAGAGCGAGACCCATTTCTTGTCATCCCAGGCCCCGTCAACCAACTCACACGTGCAACGTACCCCCCCCCCGGCCGTCCGCCCGTCTGCAGCATCCCCCAACCCTCCCTCCCAAACCAACGGAACCACGAGCACATCGGGGTGAACAGGACGACAGTCATCGACCCCTCGACTCCCTCATCCCCACCGCTTACCACCCCCCCCCCCTCGGCCCAACCCAACAATGTACCTTAACTTCCAGGGTGGTGAACACCGTCACCTCGGAGGACCTCGCTTCCTCCGGGACGAAGCGGCCGATGCTGCCGTTCTCCAGCCCGAACCCCAAGGCGAGGAGCAAGCTGGCCCGGCAGGACGGGGAGGGCGGGGACGGGGCCAGCCTGTCCCCGACGTCGGTGCAGTCCCCGCCGGACCTGGTGCGGGCCGTGTACTCCTCGCGCAAGAACGCGGGGCAAAAGTGAGTCGCGAGGACGGACGATGTGCATGCTTGTCTTGGTTTTGTGTTGATTGTTTACGCGCACGGGCGGCGGTTTGAATCGGAGATATTGGCGTATTCACTGGTACACAGTTTTTGGCGTGCGCGCGTGGATAGCCAGAAGCAGAGAGCAGGGTTCATCCGCTCGCCTCGCAGCGTGCGGTCTACCCGTGCCCGATACGATCCCAACCGCGCTGCTTCGCGCGCTTTCGTGCAGGACGGCGTCTTACAACCCGGCCCTGGGGCTTCGGGGGCTGTCGGTGGCCCCCTCCCCGCGGCAAGCCGGCACCCGGTGCGACGTGGTGGTGGACGGGGCTGTGGGCGCGCCGGCGCGGTACCGGTACATGTACACGCCGCTGGAGGAGAGGGCCGCCGCGCTCGAGAAGGGCCTCGTGGCCTTGCAGGTGTGTTGTGTTTGTGTGTAATTTGAGTTGGCATCGACCGCGCTAGCCGGCTGACCTGATGAGAAGACGTTGGTCTTGCAGCGGGATAAAAAAACGCGAGCACGTTTTCTGTGGTGTGTTTGTGTGTTCGGCTAAATGTGGCGGTGTGGGTGTTTCGGATGGCGGCAAAGGATGCCATACGAATGTGTTGGCTGTGTTGACCCCGAAGGGTGGTGTGGTGTGGTGTCGAGTTCCGAAGGAATTTTTTTTTTTAGGGCGGCTTGCTTTCCTCGTCCCCCTGGTTTTTCGTTCCCCTGAAACACACACACAGATTACGTACGCGTGCCGTTTCATTGAGTGTACTACTGCTGCTTGCTCTCCTTCTTCTTCTTGGGGGTGTCTGTCGTAGTCGACCGCGGTGTACTTCTCCTGTGTGCTCTCTGCCGTCGCGGCCTTGCTTCGCACCTGCCTGGCGGTTTTCTTTCTAGCCATCGTATGCATTCTTCCTTCGCGAGCCTTCAAGGACAAAATGTCTCCAAGATCGCAGGCAAGCTTTTTTTCGTCTTGTCGTGCTACACCCGGATAGGATTCGCGGCGCTCTTGCTACTCAAGGGTCCGACCGTCTTATGGCCACACAAGGCGGATGAACGAGACAATCCCCAATCAACGAAAGACCACACAAGGAACCCCTTGTGTCGCGGCAACGTGTTATGCTTGTCCGGAGACTTGGGGGGTTTAATATGCGCACTTGAATCACTACTGTGGCATTGACGGCGATGTTGGTTGGTCTTTTGCGTGTTCAGGGCCAGATGGAGAGGAAATTCGGGCTGACGGAGATCACTCCCGTCGGGGTGCCGAGGCAGGAGCAGGTGGTGGCGGTGGGGCGCGTCTGCTGCGAGTCGACGGAGGGCAAGATCAATCGCGCGTCTATCCTGCTGGAGGTAAATGGCGGCATTCACTGGCTGTGGTCGTTGTTGTTGTCGCCGGTGATGACGATTCGCTGCACCATGGGAAAGTTGGGAACGATAGCCTCTGGCGCGCCCCATGTCTCGATCCCCCTCCCCCCTCCTGCTCCTTGTAGCGTTGATGTTGGAAGATGACGTAAACCAGTAACTCAGCCCGGGACAAGCTCTTACTTCATGATACCGAGCAAGCTCCTCCTCTCTCCGTTGCGCCCGTCCCACGCCCCTTGTCCGCGTTGTCGCTGCGACAGGGTTCCCGACGCGACAGCAGCGGTCAGCGGGCGCACCTCGATCTCCGGGAGCTCCAGTCCTTCGCCCTCTTCCCGGGCCAGGTCGTGGCCGTCCAGGGCGTCAACGGCTCCGGCGGCCGCATGGTGGCCCGCGGGATCATCGACGGAGTGCCTCGCCCTCTCCCGTCCTCGCGGCCCTCCGACCTCCTCCGCGCCCAGCACGGGGCGGAGCTCGGCGGCGGGAAGGCGCTCTCCATCTTCGCCGCCGCGGGCCCGTTCACGACCAGCGACAGCCTCGTGTACGAGCCGCTGAACGACCTGCTGGGGGCGGTGAGGGCGGCGCGGCCGGACGTGGTGGTGCTCATGGGACCCTTCGTGGACTCCGAGCACCCTAAGGTACGCTTTGTCGTGTGTGTGCGTGATCTGTCGGGTGGCGGTGGCGG